AAGAAATTATAAAGATGAGGGCAGAAATTAATGTAATAGAAACCAAGAAAACAATACAAAGAATCGATGAGTTGAAGAGTTAGTTCCTTGAAAGAGTAAATAAAATCAACAAACTCTTACTTAGAGTTTACAACAAACCTTACATTAGAAAGGAAAGAAAAATTCAAATCCATGCAATTAGGAATGAAAGGAGTGAAATCACAATAGACCCTGCAGAAATCCAGATCATCATCTATACCTACTTTGAGAGCTTATAGTCTAATAAGATTGAAAATACAGGAGAAATGAACAGATTCCTAGATGCATATGAATTACCAAAGCTAAATCAAGAAGCTACAAAAGGCTAGGGATTTGGCTCAGTAGTGTAAGCACCTGCCTGGCAAGGTCGTCAGCTCAATCCCCAGTATCAAAAAAAAGATACAAAAATCCTAAATAAACCAATATCAATCAATAAAATTGAGAGAAGACTTAATACCAGTACTTTTCAAAATTTTTAATGAAACTGAAAGGGAAGCAATACTCCCAAATTCATTCCTGGAAGCAAGCATTAACTCGATACCAAAACCAGAGAAGGACCCAACTAAGAAAGAGAGCTACAGGCCAATCTCCCTAATGAACATAGATGCAAAATTCCTCAGTAAGCGGCTAGGGATTCAGCTCAGCAGCATAAGCGCCTGCCTGGCAATTATGAGGTCATGAGTTCAATCCCTGGTACAAAAGAAAAAAAAAAATTCCTCAGTAAGATCCTGGCAAACAATGCAGCAAATAAGATTATATATCATGACCAAGTAGGATTCGTCCCAAAGATACAGGGATGGTTCAACATACATAAATCAATAAATCTTAACAGAGCCAAGGACAAAAACCATATGATCATCTCAATAGATACAGAATGGGGCTGGGGATTTAGCTCAGCGGCATAAGTACCTGCCTTGCAAACAGGCGGTCGTGAGTTCGATCCCCAGTACCGATAAAAATGAAAAAGACAAAAAAAAAAAAATAGATACAGAAAAAGCTTTTGAGAAAGTTCAGTTGCCCAATGCCAATGCCCCAAGTTCATGATAAAAACTCTACAGAAAATTGGAGTAAATGGGTCTTTATCTCAATCTGATAAAAGCCATCTATGACAAGCTAATAGCTAATATCATACTAAGTGGTCAAAAACTAAAAGCTGTCACTCTAAAATCAGGAATAAGACAAAGATGTCCATTCTCCCCACTGTTATTCAACATAGTTCTGGAAACTGTAGCCAGAGCAATTAGAAATAAATGGAATAATGATAGGAAAGTAAAAAGTTAAATTATCATTATTCACAGATAACATGTTAGTCTACATACAATAGAAGACTCCAAAAACTCTACCAAAAGACTTCTAGATTTAATAAACAAATTCAGTAGCATAGCTGGATACAAAGTGAACACTCAAAAAATAATAGTCATCCTGTACACAGATAACAAACTCACTGAGAAAGAATTAGGGAAACAATAGCTTTCACAATAGCATCCAAAATAAAGAAATACCTAGGAATCAATCTAATGAAGGACATAAAAGACCCCTACATTGAAAACTAGAGTACTCTGAAATGACACAAAAAACTGCTGAGCCATCTTTATATAAGGAATCAGTTTCTGAGAATCTTGCCTTCAATTTACCTTGTTCTTTGAGGATAACTGAGGGAACTGAACATTCACCCCAGATATGGTTTTACATGTACTTCCAGTACAAAAGAAACGATCTCATTTAGTATTTCCAGGCATTGTGACTTATCTGACTCGAGAAAAAAGAACTCACCCAGTCAGATGTTGGCCTGCTGCAATAACCCATTTGCATAGAAAAAGAGATCATCTTTTGAGAGCAGTGCTCCACACTCAGAACTCAAAAATTATAAAAGACAACGAAGGCCAAGAAGATTATCAAGATGAATTCAGATTAAGAGTTACAACTCAATCATCTGAAAAAATCCATTACCAGCTATTTTGGTGCTGCAGGTAGAAGAGCATGTGGCCAAGAGTACTGAGCTCTGGCTTGTCGAGGGGCATTTGACAGAAAGATGCATTGTCTTGTGGAATGGGAAGAAGTGACTGCATCCAGAAGTCTCATCTAGCTTTTGTTCTTCTGTCTCCAATGGTCTAAACAGGTTGTATCTTATTGGATTTTACTATGTACGATAGTATAAGAAAAAACCTTTTAAAGACAAGGAGATTATACAGAGACCATTGTTCATTTTCTGTTAGTCGATTCTAAATACTCTATAATGCTGTTATTCTCTTAAATGGATTTACATTGTTTTGATATACTTAATGCTACAATATATGAAGTTGTACTCAAGGACTTCAGGGAGGGAGTCAATATGGTAACTATCTTTGGGTCAGGATTAGCTGGTGGTGAAACACTATTCTGCTTAAATGGTTATGTTTTGATCTGCCCTGTTTCGCTGTTATGCCCTCTTTTTTTCTCAATCTCCACTCCATTATTTACTTTTTTATTTTTACCCATTTAATTACAGGGAAAAATATAGCAGGATATAATATAGTAACCCACTTTGACTTTCTATTATCTCGATTTGAAGCCCTGTATTACTCTCACCATCGTGTTTTTGACTGAGGTTCCTATATTCTGTTTTGCTGGATAGTATCAGGTTCGAAAGTTTAGGCATCAGCTGAGAAGATAATGAGATTCATTATAACGCCCATTCTCGTTGACTTTTATCTACTTTTGAAGACCTACAATGTCTCCAATGTTTTGGTTTTGTCGGTTTTATTCTTTACGGTTTTGTTCAATTGTATTACAACTAATGATATAGGCAATTCTATTAGAAATAGCGGGAGGCATTAGGGTAACCATTGTTGATCACCTTGTATTATGTTTTTATATTATCTATTATGTCCACCCTTTTGACTTGACCGATTCTGTTCTGTTATGTCACATTTGGTTTTACTCTCTTCCAAAAAAGCAACAAGAACCGTGGGAGCAATGAAACCCAAAATGTGTAATAGTCACTGTACAAAAGAGAGGAAAAGAAAGTGCTCTAAACTATATAACTGCATGTATATTTAAAAGTATAAGATAGAAAATGATATCACAGAGTTTTATTGGATCATTGAACAGAACTGTTTGCAGTATCATTGGTGGAATGTCCACTCTACAAGCTTTAATTTTGTGACTTGAACAATTATTTCTAAGATGGCAATATGTAATCCATTAACTAGTGATTTCCTACTGCGCATTTTTTTATTCTGTAAATCTGTATAACTTGTACCCCTTCACTGTTTTTTTTTCTTTCTTTTCTTTTCTCCTTAAATAAAAATTAAAAAAAAAAAAAAAAAAAAAAAAAAAAAAAAAAAGAAGTGACTGCATCCTGACTGTAGGACTGTAGGACTATTATGTTTACTGCACTCACTTTCTGTAGGTACCATTCAAAGCGCTAAAGGAGCCTGACTTTTACTATCTTTTTTAACAAAAACAAACAAAATATTCAGGATATGATACCAGTCTGAACATGTACTTGTCAATGTTAAGGATGTTGTAAATATCTATCTATCTGTATCTCTCTCTCTCTCTCTCTCTATATATATATATATATATATATATATATATATATATATATCTTTTAAAAATCAGAATAAAGATTTAACTTTTTAAATCATATAATTTGTAAATGTGTCTAGGATAAGATATTTAAAGTAATTCAACCTGCCCCCCCAAAAAAAAAACAGTTTCCAGAAGCAGAAAATATTCCATTTATGACCATATATACAAAAATCCTAAAAAAAGTTACACTTATCCTCAAAAAGCAATGATGACCAATACAAGAAAATCTAGCCAGACATGGTGGCACATGACTGTAATCCCTGCAGAAAAGAAAATCTATCAATGTAATAAAATACATTTATAGGTTAAAGGATGAAAAATATAGTGTTTAACTCAGCAGATACACAAAAAGAAAATGATAAATTTTATTTATCTTTTACTTTTTTTTTTTTGAGACAGGGTCTTGATATGTAGTTCAGGCTGACCTTGAGCTCACTGGGTAGCCTGGGCTGGCCTTGAACTTGTGGTGATCCTCCTGCCTCAATTGCTTCAGTGCTGGGATTACAGGTGTGTGCCATTACACCCAGCAAAATTTAATACCTATTTATGGTTGGGAAGAAAAAAAAAGCAGACAATTCAAGTGGAAATGCCCTTATTTTATAAAAATTACAAATGGGGCTAGAGATTTAGCTCAGTGGCATAAGCGCCTGCCTTGCAAGCAGGCAGTCATGAGTTCGATCCCCGATGCCAATAAAAAGGAAAAAGACAAAAAAAATAAAAATTACAAACCAGAAACCAATAGCGCACGTACTACTTAACAGAAAAATGCTAATGCATCTTTTAAATATGAAGAACAAGGAAAAAGACATTCACTGGGGTTTGGGAGTTCTGGCCAATACTTTAAAGGCAAAAAAAAGAAAGAAAGAAATTAGACTTTAAATATTCAGGAGTTGAGACCATACCTTTACTATCTTCAGCTAATCAACAACTATTAATCAAGTTCAGAAAGTGGCTAAACACAGAATCAATTTACCAAAATCAATGAAATTGGAAACTGTGGGTGTTCATTGTGGAGTTAATTTCCTCTTTACATGTCAATAACTTCCTGTCACGGAAAAAACTCACACACCTCCTGTGGCCCTTCACTGTCAGAATGAGCTGTTTCTTTGGCCTGAGTCCTGCACTACTCACACATTCCCAGTTCATTTTTATCTCAGGGCATTTGCACGGGCTATTCTAGCTTCCAAGAGTCTCTTCCCTGGCTTTTTGCATGATCAGCTCTTACACTGTGGGACGTCAGTATCACTTCACCTGAAAAGCCATCCTGTCTGTTGTGTCTCATCCCCATTCTTTATTCCCCCCCCCCATAGATTTTATTCTCAATGTTCCAGAGGTCACACCTCCTTAAATCTCCATCTTGGAACCCTTCTTTACTGCAGCCACAAGCTCCCCAACAGCCAACGCCTCACCTCTCGGCAGGAGCCTCGCCAGGCTCCAGCTTGGGCCCCCGGCCATGGCCAGGCGAAGTAGACGACTTAGTTGGGTATCTAAGTTTCGCATGGAGCCCACCTCCACGGGGAGACCAGAGGGCAGGGAAGGCATCTTCGCAGGAGACAAAAGCCAGGAAACAACAAGGACAGAGAGGGCTGGTATGGACGGCTGGCCTAGGCGAGAAAGAGATTCAGGGGGTGTCTGATGGGAAGGAAAGCATCTGGATGAGAAAGGGATGGGCAGGAGTGGGGTTCCATATCACAAGATCCGGGCACTAAGGGAGGCTGACAGCTGCAGGAGATCCAACCAAAGTGGGGCAGGAAGAAAGTTCTTAGGGCTGGGGAGGGGCCTGCAAGGGTAGTAAAGGAGCTTGGAGGACAGGGAGGAGTCTGAAGGCTTGGGAGGAGCTGGTTACTGGCTTTGGAAGAGGGGCCTCCTGACCTGAGGCAATGTGGTCTGTGGGCTCAGGGGGGGTCTCTATATGGGGTGAGCTCCACAGGCTGCAGAACAGCCCAGGGAAGGGAGGGCTCTGTGGGCTGGGGAAAGCTGCTGTTTAGGCTGGTGTTTCTGAGAGGCTGAGACAGGAACATGGCAAGCGAGAGTTCAGCCTGGGCAATTTTGCGACATAATGAGGTCTCAAAAGCGAACAAACAAGGACTGGGGATGTAGTTTAGTGTGAAGACCCTAGGTTCAACCCCCAGTCGTTGGGGGTTAGGTAGGGGGAGCGGGTGTCAGGACTTCCTAAGGGGAAGACAATATCAGACTAGAGGAGGGGGACTGGTGAACAGCTGAGGACCCTAAAAGCTCTTAAGAGCTTTCGGCCTGGACTCCTGTCCAGACGACTTTGTACCTACCGTTGGGCGGAACAGTGGCCACTCGGGTACTACCACGTGACCCTGATGCACCAATGGTTGTCTGAGCAGGAATTCTAGCGCATGCGTATTAGTGGTTTCCTAACACAATCTAACTTACCTAAGAGAAGTGCCTAGGGCCCCGGGATGACTGCAAGAAGAAACATCTCTGCCAGAGGTTTCAGCTGTATTCTGGGCGTTCCTCCTTTGTTGCCTGAACTCCAGAACTTGGGGGGAGGGGGGAGGCGGGGCAGTGGTCTCTTTCTGATCCCTGTGTTGCATTCTTGGCTGTTTTCCCTTGCTTTTCATTCACTTCTGTAGACTGCTTTTCTGCCTCTGTCGCTGCCTCTCGCCTGAGCCCCATACCTAGGAGCCCCACAACATACCCACATGGATGTCCCCTGGGGTCTGTCACACCTACCAGTTTCCACAATGTCCTCAGAATCTCCTCCAAGCTCTTCTCACCCATCCCTTTCACAGACTTGACACCACAGACCCTCTTTGCAAGTCAGAGCCCTGAGCCTTTTTCTGGTCATATCCTTCCCACAGGACCCATGGGCTCCATGGCATACGCTCGCAGCCCCCTTCTCTCCTCCAGACTCCCAGCCTTGTTCCAGCCTGGACTCCCAGCCTGTCTCCACTACCCAGTCTGTCCTCCACATGGCAGCCACAGAGATCTTCTCTTGACCCTTTTTTCTCCCACTGGAAATATCTCCTGAATCCCCCGTGGCCTTGGGACACAACCCCCACCCTTCTCTCTGCCATGTGAGACTGCAGCCTCTGGCCATGCACATCCCTCCATCCCTGTCTCTTCGCTTCCCAGTCTGGATCACATTTCTCTGTTTTTGCCATGTCCTTGTTCTTGTTCCTTTCAATCTTCATGATTCTTCTTCTTTTTTTTTTTTTTTTTTTTTTTTTTTTTTGTCTTTTTCCTTTTTATCGGTACCGGGGATCGAACTCACGACTGCCTGCTTGCAAGGCAGGTGCTTATGCCGCTGAGCCAAATCCCCAGCCCCCATGATTCTTCTTATGAATACTTTCTTAATCACCACGGGGTGGCTCAGGTGCCACTTCTGACCTTCCATATCCTCCCCACCCCCCGGGCTTCCCCACCATAGTCATTATTCCTCCAGCTATGTCCTTGCTGTATGCCATGGCATTTATGAGCCTGGACACCTCCCCCCAGCCCAGGTCAGGCTGGATGAAGTCAAGATGAGTCCTTCCCCAAGGAAACAGCTTCAGTTAGTTCAGCAGCAGGAGCTTTATTGACCATATGACCCCAGGGGTGCTACTAGGAGACTCTTGGGCATCACCCTAGCAGCCTCCGCCACAGTTCTTGTCTGAGCAGCATCTGTTCCCTGCGGGAACCCTGCAACACACTGCTGTTCTCCTGAGCCCTCCGGATCAGGTAGGGGATCACCTCTTTCAGGGAGCCATAGGGGATGGACTTGTACACTGCATAGCCAGCTTGCCCTGGGAAGGAGAATGTTGGGAGGATGTGTTCAGTCTTGGGAGAGGCACCTCCAAACTTGTCTGTGATAGAGATGTCCGTTTTTTGAGAACATGTCCAAAGTGAGTTGTACAAAATTTCTCATTGAAAAAATGAAAAATCCAGGAAAAAGCATTTAAAAGAAATGTATATTAATTTTTTTATAGTACCATGGGTTGAACTGAGGGCCTTGTTTTTTGTGTTTTTACTTTAAGAAACTGAGTCACTAAATTCCCCCATCTGTACCAAAACCACTGAGGCAGGGTCAGTCTCCCACCCGGCAACTATAGAAAGACAAACTATAACTATAGAAAGACAAAGAGAGATCTGTAGTTTCAAGGGCCACTGGGATGATCAGTTGCTCTCAGTGGAACAAAGGGCCAAGCGTAAGAGTGACCATAGGTTTTATTGCTTGCTCACTGGCAAGAATATAGGATATAGGTTGTAAGTGAGTGTTTAGGAATAATATGCAGGCCTGGCTTGTAATAGAGGGACAAAGTACTTTTGTGTCAGGCACACAGGTTCTCCAATTATAGAGTAGCTTAACAAATAACTTGATGTTTGGAAAGCAGCACCTTTTCTGCTGGGAAGGTATATTTCATTTTGAGTCTCAGCATAGACATTATCTCATGTCTTAACCCTGGAATTTCATAGGATCTTGCTCAAGCCTCTATTCCAGCTATCAGTGGTGGTGGGCAGTTCTGTTGCTTAGCTGCAATGAGTCACATTGGTGCCTCAACTGGACTTGGTCACATTCTTTTTAACCAATTAAAGGAACATTTGTTTCTATATAGACAGCTCTGTACCTACAGGTAGGCAGAACCAAGATGAGGGCTAAACAGAACAGGGACAAGAGGATTCATTTCTCAGAGGACTGTGGCTTGGTGGTCCCCTAAGAGACTGAGCTTGAACCTGTGATCCTCCTGCATCAGGCTCCCAGAGTACTGGGATTACAAGTATGTTCCTCCATACCCACCAAGAAATGTTTTAAGGTAATTAAAATGCTGCTAAAATATCAAGGAATTTATTAATCCAAGAATTAAGAGAAAATGAGGTGAGCTGGACATGGTGGTACATCCTTGTAATCCCAGCACTTGGGAGGCTGAGGCAGGAGGATCACTGCAAGTTCAAGGCCAGCCTGGGCTACAAAGTGAGTTCAAGGCCAGCCTGAACTGCAAAGTAAGACCCTGTCTCAAAAAGACTTAGATAGATAGGTAGATAGGTAGATAGATAGATAGATAGATAGAGTGGAGGTTTAGAGAGTCAGAGAAAGTAAGGGAAGGATTAGGCGGGCAAATCACAAGTGTGAACCCAACCTGGACAACTTAGTGACTTATCAAGACCCTGTCTTGTACAGCGGGAAGAAAACAGAAAAATCCATCTCTGAGGGGTCATGGTCATGGGTTAGCTCCCTTGAATATTTGCAGCCCAACCAGTAGCATGGCAATATCTCAAGATGTGAATTTAGGGTAAAGTGGATTTGTGGCCCTTACCACCCAGCAGGAAGAAACATAAATCTTATTATCTCAGGTTCTGGGGAGCAGCACATTCAGGATCACAAAGCACACAGGAAACATGACGCCATGATCAAGAACCAGCAGCCCTAGTAATGCCCTGAAAGAGCCACAGATCTAAGGATAACACACTTACTATGAAAGTGCTAAAGGATAGGGGGCTGGCTAGGCATTGGTTGGGAATAGCAGAGGGGATCTGGTTGGGAGAGAAGGAGAGCTGAGGTGAGGGCTGGGAGTAGAGCGTGAGGGTGATAGGCATTCACATACCCAGTGCCAGGGAGACGTGGTCACACATGCCCAGAAGTTGTCCAAAACAGACAGGCCCATCCGGAGGAATGCCCAGCTCCCACATGCTACAGAAAAGGCCACATCATCAGTCCAGACAGAGGCTTGATTTAGAGCAGCAAATCAACTATCACATACCTTTATGGCTACTGCAGTATTTCAGATATTGAAGCACAGTTGGCACTCCATATCCAGGAGTTCTGAATGCACAGATTCAACCAACCATGGATCAAAAATACTTGAAAAAAATTATGTCTGGTACTGAACATGTGCATGCTTTTTTCTATCTTTATTCCCTAAACAATACAGTATAACAACTACTTCTGTAGCATTTACATTGCATTAGATATTATAAATCATCTTGAGATAATTTAAAGTACACGTGAAGATGTATGTAGGTTATATGCAAATACTATATGCTATTTTTTTTTTTTGGTACCAGGGATTGAACTCATGACTTCACACTTGCCAGGCAGGCGCTTATGTCGCTGAGCTACATCCCCAGCCCCTATATGCTATTTTATATGAGAAATTTGACTATCTGAGGATTTTGGTATCTCTAGATTTTGATCTCCATGGGAGCAGGGGATTTCCTGGAACCAGTCTCCATGGATAATGAAAGCTGACTGTCATTCTTTTTTTTTTTTTTTTTTTTTGATCTTTTTTGTTTTTATCGGTACCGGGGATCGAACTCACGACTGGCTGCTTGCAAGGCAGGCGCTTATGCCGCTGAGCTAAATCCCCAGTCCCCCTGACTGTCATTCTAAACTCAGTGGTTATGGCTTGTGTCTAGATGTCCCCACAAAGCCTCATGCAGTCATAGGTAGGGCTTTTCAGAGATGGCTGGATCTGAAGTGTGTGAATCTAGGATCAAGGATGATTGATTCATGGTACAATGCTAAGTTTAAAGGTATGAGTGCCTGAATAAAATATAAAGGACCAAAAGAGAGTCCCTGCTTGTCACTTGTCCTTGCTTTGCTTGCTGATTTGCTCGCCTTCTGCCTGCCATGAACTATTTCTCCACTATAATACCCCTCTGCCAGGCCACCTGGCCTTGGAGCCAGCTGATTATGGACTGAAACCTCTACAAACTGTGAGTCAAAATAAATGTTTCCTCCTTTAACTT